GGATGTGAGTGTGCATGTGTGTGCAAGGTAAGCCCGAGGTCAGGAAGGTAGCCAGTGGTAGACGATTCGATCACTCCTTTTCTCACAGTTCCTTCCACAGTAGCACAGAAGATGGAGCTGCCATCAGCATATTAGAGAGGCTCACCCCCCTCCCCCGTACGTTGTCTCTCGTACCCTGTACATATTCTGCATGGCGACTGATGGCTGCTATGCGCCCGCTGTGCTGTCAACCCGTGTGGAACTGCCTTGACTGTCCAGTTACAAATGTTACATGTTGTCCTAGCAACGGATAGTGCCTTAAAAATGATCATCTGGAACGTTCCGTTCTTATCAGGCTGCATACCTTAAACAAGACACTTCTTCTGAACTGATCTCCGTTCTGGGGCGCAGAGGTCCGGCCTGCACAGACGGAGGCTGGGCGGCGCTCATGCTCATTTAATCATGTGGCTGCTTTATTTCAAACATGTCACAAAAGGGAATTTAGATTATTAATGCATTCATTTGTTCTACAAAATACTAGTCATGTTTTTTGAGAAATGGGGAATATTTTCATGTCTACTTTTCTAAGATGGAATTAGAAATTTTGGAAGAATGATAAATTTGAGGAAAGATCCAAGTAAAGATGTACTTCAATGTTAGTTTGATTGCAATGTTTGAGTATTAGATTGCTAAGAATAGAAATTATTATAAGACTGTCTGGGATTTTCTTCTTTCAATAAATCTACTTGGATTTGAAAATAGGCATAGAATTTGGAAAATGTGTGAGCCATCAAATACTGGCTTTGTTACATATTTGGAGTGGTACATTACTTTCTCCCCATAGAACTGGGCTAACTGTGTGTCCTTTGCATGCTTTTGAGAGTTGCAGGTGGTTTGTGAAAGTTTCTCTGTAAACACTCTAGTACTCTTCCTGGTATATCTTCTCTAGAAATGGAAAGTTCCACTGTCATTATTTTTAGAATCATTAGTGTCCGTTTCACCCCATACACAGACGGTGGGGGGGATTTTATAAACTAACACGAACCTGTACATTTTGAATCAGTTTTGTATGGTATCTCAACAGAAATCTAACCTCCATGGCACTTCCAAGAGCGGCAAATGGAACTTCACCCTGAACTCGGAACCGAGTTCTGACCACGATCCAAACAAACCGTACTTTGCAGACTTCCACATGCTGTATTCTTAAAGGACATGTATGGCTTTCAGAACTGTACACTGCATTTTGTAGGTGAAAAAAAGTCCAGGAATAAAAACTATATTTTGCTAACATAGTTTTAAAACAACATCTCAAAGAATTTCTGGGAGCCTTTCACATGTCATTTTGTGCCAACTTCATTTAAAAACTGCTTGTGTGGCAATCGCTCTTAATCTAAAGGGCTTAGTTCCATTCACAAACTGAATGTGGAAGCTGAGAAGTCGGTGAGACTGAAAACAACCCGTGGGTCCTCAAACGGCATCACGTTGATTCCGACAATCAAGGTTGGGTGGAGTGAAACACTGAAAAACCTTTGCTGGCATAAACCCTCCCCCCACTTACTGTTGTTACTATTAAAAACACTTTGCTCACGCCTGTCATCCTAGCCTCTCAGGGGGCTGAGACCTGAGGATTGTGGTTTGAAGCCAGCCTGGGCAGAAAAGTCCCTGTGAGATTCTTATCTCCAATAAACTACTCAAAAAGCTGGAAGTGGCGCTGTGGCTCAAGTGGTAGAGTGCCGAGGCAGTGCCAGGCCTTGAGTTCACACCCTAGGACCATCAAGAAACAACAGAAAACTCCTTTCCCTGGCGCCCCGGGTGGCTGAGGGTGGGCAGCATGCAGGGCTCAGGGCCTCCTCCTGAGGCGTGCCCAGTGCCTGACTTAAAGCTGCAGGGCTCTGTGGGCTGAGGTGCCCAGTGTGCCTGACTTAAAGCTGCAGGGCTCTGTGGGCTGAGGTGCTCAGTGCCTGACTTAAAGCTGCAGGGTTCCGTGGGCTGAGGCGTCTGGCCAGAGCCGGGGCCGAGGATGCCTGCTGCTGTCTGGTGAGGGTGGACGAGGTGCCCCGGAGCATGCCTGCTGGATGGCAGCATGCCACTGCCCAGCTTCCCCCAGGGGCTGTGCTGTGTGTGCGTGCGTGCGTGCGTGCGTGTGTCACACCTGTGTGAACACAGCTCTTGGCTGTTCTCTCACCAGCATGGACAGAGTTTTTGGACCGCTGCTCTGGACGGCAGCCTGTGCGCACTGTGCGGGAGGCCCCACGTGACCTGCCTCCCAGGCAGCCTCTAGACCAAGGCTCCTGTCACCAACCCACCCAGCCCTTTGCCCATAAAGGAGAATAGAGTTGTGGTCCTTTACAGATAAACAGGAGGTAGAGTCATCAGATATGGACAGTGAAGAAAAGCAATGTGGATGAATGGATTTATTACACCCAAATTGGAGCCATCCCTGGCTGGGTCTTCTTTCATTGCTCTATCAGATCAAACCTTTTAGTTGAAAAAAATACAGGAGAAATAATAAGCTGGATTATCTAAAGTCAATCTTCTTTATCCCCTTGTTTCATAAACTGGTCTTAAATAATCAAATCAGATTTAAAATATTAATGATTATCTTCAGAATTTCTCTCCGCAAGTTGTACCTTTTTTACCTTTTTTTATCCATAGGTAAATGCCCACATGCCGTGAAACAGTTACTTGTACAATATGCACTCTGAGATGCTACCCACGACGACTCAGTTGCAACCCTGAGTGGACATGAGGCTGGCCTGGTCTCCCTGGGGACGTTCCTTCTGAACGTTACCTCAATTCCACAGCAGCTTCCCGCTTACCTCGACATCCCCCGGGGCTTTGTCCTTGTCTATGCACCTCGGTGTACTGACCTTCTTCCTCTCAGACAGTTGAACTTTTCCAGCTCTATGAATCAAAGAGGCTTTTCGCACAGCCTCTCCGCTCCCTTCCCGAGAGCCCTCCCTGTCTGCCACGGACTGAGCACTGGGGCCCCACGGAGGCTCCCTCGGCACCGTCACTTCCCAGCACCCCCTTCCCGAGAGGACGGGTGAGCTAACCTTCCAGCCCAGTGTCAAACATGGCCCCAGGTCACCCCAAATCTCTCCGTGTCAGTTTCATAACTCCCGCTCCCAATACAGGCTTTCATTCAGAAGCATAATGACTAATACCTGCACCTCTTGTGTACAGATGTTAAGTTTCAACTTCTGGTGGTTCTTGGTAGTAGTAACTTTTTGCTAAACCAAATAAAATGCAGCTGAGAAAGGAGCCTATTGACTAATCTGGTATAAGAAGCAGGAAAACACTGGAGATGCCTGGTTATTGTGCTGACTTTGGTTGACAGGATGTCGTTTGCTGGCTGACAGCATGTAGTGTGTGGACGAGTTCTCTCCTCCCTTCTTTATCTTAGCTAATGGGCACGATTTCCTTCTCTGTTATGTTCTGAGTAGAAGTTTTAATACTTCCGTAGCAAAGAAGATAGCAGATTAGCCACTAATTCATTCTATTTGACAAGCAGGTGAATAAACGTAGAAAGCCTTGCCAGGTAAAAAACCAGATCAGATCTTTAGTTCAGTTTCCTAACGACAAGCTAAGCCCTTTCAGTATTTCCAGAAGCAATGCTGACTGGCGTAGAGCCCATGTTACAGTTCGGAGTCATGTCATGTTTTCTTGTCAGTAAAGATGACCAACTTCAAAGAAAACAAAAAATAAGCTTACCATGACCTTTCTTCTCCATCACATCCATGATTCAATTATGTGTTCTTTGCCTGTGGATCCCTAAAAGTGAGAAAGAATAGGAAAATAAAATTCAATACAATTGAGCAGTATTCTGTGAAAGGCAAATATTTACAATTTTAATTGAGGACAAACACACACTTCATAAAACTATTCGCATGCAACTCCAGCTGCAAAGACTCAACAGCAGTACGCCCAGGCTGGTTAGCAGCAAAAAAGTAAACCGATCACATGACAAAAGCCACTATGAACAACAAACTATGCTCACAAGGTAACTGTTTTGGCATTCATCCCTACCACCAAGTATTTCTCTTTTTTTTCCATCAAAATTTAGCTTACGTTTGATATTAGCAAGAGCTGCATTACTGTTATTGTTAATTTTAGTTCTGTTTATTGCCTTGAGGGTTATATATTGTAACATAATTTTGTTGCCTCTAGTTAATGGTAATTAGTTGTTTTAATAGCCTATAGACCTATTTGTTATGTTTTTGTAGGTTTACTTTTTTAACTATCAGGAACTTAATAACTGAGAATATTTAACATTACGGTTGCATAGGCAAAATTACAGAGTTGCTGTTAGTGTTACCTGTTTAGTGTTTAGTCATCCTTTGAGTCGTGCGACATATTTCCTTAACAATCATCAGCCATCAAGTCTGATAGTCTCAAAAGAAATATCAGCCCTCTAAAGTGCCTTCGAGGGCGGTGATATTTAGCACTGAAAATTACAAATAAAGTTTTTGAAGTTGAAGAGCAACAACTGGCCAGAGACACTGATGATTTGTTTGTCAAAACAATTGGTATAAACTACGCAAATGAAGTCACACACTCCTTCCAGGGAAAGCGGTCAGGTGAGTCTGCGCAATGCTTACATGTTGGATGGGATATTTAATGTGCGGGGAAACTCAAAGGTTGAAGAACTAGGCATTTAGACGGTGGTAAGTGGTAATCTTACCTCTTTATACTCCATTACTCTTTCTCACGAGAGACATGCTAATGCAAACAAGTCAATCAGAATTTGTGTTTAGCAAGATAAAGCTTATAGGATAGTTTAAAATCCATTTATTATTCTAAATCCACTCTTTCCATTAACATGTTATACATTAGTGTTTACTAACCATGATTCATGTAACAGTTTAGCTTGTTAACTTTTAAATTGTTTAACAACCATAAGTTATTAATACATTTTAAAGTATTACACAAATATCTTAAAACAGGCTTGGGTTCATTTTTGTAATTTTTAAATAGAAAACATTTTAGGCATTTCTTGAAGAAGAAATAAAGCAGGCATTTAAAGCTAGAAAACAAGTAATTCCAAATTTAGTTTTTACAAAGGTTTTCAGCTTTATTGACAAGTTATGGCAAACATATTTGACAGATTGTGGTTTCCTATTTAGTGAAGCGTAACATGGAACTTTATGTGTGTTTTTTCTTTTTTAACAAAAACAGGTTAAAACACTGAACAAATTCAGTTAGCTACAAACATACAGTAGCTACTTGTTTTCAACCCCATGAAAACAGTTAAAATTAAATTTACAAACTTAATATTGAACATCTTTATCTAACTAACAGATATTAAAAGACAAGTTAAAACATCTTATCTACAACTTTATTATCCGCTAGCTCAACGATCATATTACAGTCTTAATTTAGCAACCCTAAACAAAATTTCTGCTAGTTGGTTGAGACTCAAAATCTGTCAACAGATTCATGCTCTTTCTAAAAAAAAGGAAAGGAAAAATAAAAGAATAAAAAGAAAAGCTTACACAGGACAATGCAAAACCACCAAGAGAATATCATCCTACTGAATGGTTTATACACTATGCTTGCCAATGTCTTTTTCAATTCATTTTGTAAAATAATACTAATGTCAACAAACGTCAGCAGCATAGAGGGAAATACAAGAAACACGGGCACAGTCCTAAGCAGTTAACCCTAGCGTAGAAAAAAGAAACAAGGGAGGACTATTACTTGTCTTGTTGCTGTTCGTGTGGAGACCACAGCTACGCACTCTCTTTGGGTGGGGTCTCTGAGACCTTCAATATCTACCGTAGGGGTGCTCTCGGAATCCCCCTCGGGCCGGCCTAGGCGGCGGGGCCTTCAGGCTGGAGCGGCTGGCGGCCCATTCCTCTGGCACTACGAACAAGAAAGGGACACACAGGTGACTCACAGGCATCACAAGGCCACCCAGGCTAAGGGGGCAGCAGAGCTCAGCACCGAAAAACACTGTGTCCACCTCATGACGAACCCAGAAAAACACTTGAAACTAAACATTCGTGGGCTGATTCAAAGAAAGTCTACAGCCATGCCACCCTGGATGCGTGCAATCGCGTCTGATCTTGGAAGCTGACGCGGGGTCCGGCTTGGTGAGTGCTTGGATGGGAGAAAGCTAAAGCCCTTTGATGAATGCCCCAGTGTCGGATATTAGATCTCAATGCCACACAAGAGAAAGGGACTCAGTGCAGTCCATTCGTCATTTCATCATTTGACACAGAATTCTAGAGTTGGAAATAGTAAACCAGCGGTTCTTAGCCCTCACTTAACTCAGATTATACCAGACTCATAAACAAAAATCCACAATAACTAATGCTGGTTATCTGTCTCACAAATGAACTGATTGCAAAGTTATGGGGAGAGGTCCATGCTTTTGTATTTTCAAATGCCCCCAGAGACAGGATGTGGTCCAGCGCTGACATCTACGGAGCTCAACTACATGGGAGAGACAATGGTAAGCTGGGCAGAGAGCAGGGAAGATTTCAAGTAGTGACACAAGCAATAAAAGTCTTACATTTGAAATATGTAACTTGAGAGTAGGAATAGGAGGCGGAAATAGAAAATGGTAAAACGAGTGGCACTGATTAAGATGCATTGTACTCAAAACCTGATTGGTGGAACTGTAATCTCTTTGTACAGCTAGATAGTGTACACAATGCTTAATAAATACATAGTTTTAAAATAGAAAGGCTTAAGCTACTGGTTACACTAGAAACGGATTTTCATTAGTCTCCAAGTTATGGAACCTAGCCCAAACAAACTAATAATAAAACAAAACAATACAAAACTTGGAAACATCAAATACTACCAAGCCACTGCAGACTACTATGTCTATTATGTCTTTGGGAAAGGAACTTAAGACTGAGTTTACATGTGAATTCAGGTGATCTCAGGGTAGGTTCTCTGGGCCTTCTGACAGAATTCAGTTCTTCCTGGAGAGTAGATCTTATGTTTGGCTCAGCAGTGGGGGACATGTGAACATGGACAGGGATATCACTGAGAGACACACACCACCATGGACAGCTGTAGAGGTGAGGAACACCACCATGGACAGCTGTAGAGGTGAGGAAGACCACCATGGACAGCTGTAGAGGTCAGGAAGACCACCATGGACAGCTGTAGAGGTGAGGAACACCACCATGGACAGCTGTAGGAGGTCAGGAAGACCACCATGGACAGCTGTAGGAGGTCAGGAACACCACCATGGACAGCTGTAGAGGTGAGGAACACCACCATGGACAGCTGTAGGAGGTGAGGAACACTACCATGGACAGCTGTAGGAGGTGAGGAAGCCCACCATGGACAGCTGTAGAGGTCAGGAAGACCACCATGGACAGCTGTAGAGGTGAGGAAGACCACCATGGACAGCTGTAGAGGTGAGGAAGACCACCATGGACAGCTGTAGGAGGTCAGGAACACCACCATGGACAGCTGTAGGAGGTCAGGAAGACCACCATGGACAGCTGTAGGAGGTGAGGAACACCACCATGGACAGCTGTAGGAGGTCAGGAAGATCACCATGGACAGCTGTAGGAGGTCAGGAAGACCACCATGGACAGCTGTAGAGGTGAGGAACACCACCATGGACAGCTGTAGGAGGTCAGGAAGACCACCATGGACAGCTGTAGGAGGTCAGGAAGACCACCATGGACAGCTGTAGGAGGTCAGGAA